ATGTAACTCATGCATGAAAAACACTACTTTTCGTGCCTCCGAAGTGTGGTGAATGTGGCGCTTTATAACTATGGATACGATAAAAATTCTGCGCATGCATACATCGGCCCAATTTTACATTACCGCACTAGTGCTTTCTTCTCGCACTAGTGCGATAAAGTAAACTTTGTTTTCGCGCGCTGTTATGAAATACATTCACTTTGGAAGCCTTCCTTGCTCTTCTCATGGCTGCCTCCTCCAACGAAGAGATGTTCCTAGCTTTGCTGACGATAGCTTAATTAGTAACACAACGGCACGATCCGAAGACAAAGTGAATAAAGCTATCGTCAGCAAAGCTATGAATTTTTTGCCGTCCTTACTTCAATGGACCATATATTGGAGCTAGTCGCTGGCACACTAAGTTTTTTGTAGAGAAACATGTATGTACGTCTATTAAGCATCTACCTAGGAGATTGCAATGTACGGGAAAGGTCTTAAGAAACCTGCGAACAAATCGGCACCCTTGACCACAACCAAAAGCCTTTATTTCCTCCGATTTATCATTGACGGAGACCGTGTGTGCTTGAGCCTCGAATTCAACGACTGACTCGTTCGCACGCTCTTACATTTGTCGTGCCCTCTCGCCGGGCCGTTCCTCACACATACCAGTACACCACAGGCTTTTTGCTTGGCTAATTTATTGGATTTGATTTAATATTTTTGCTTGGTATTTTTTTAGCAAGGATTTATTTTTTATGAAATGGCTACACTTTTAATACTTGGCGTAACCGTTTTGTTTTGAAAAAACATTTTTGGTGTTATCATATAATAGGAAAACATGACTTATGTACTTGGCCTCAATAATATGATATCAATACTTTTTGTTAGAGGAATTCACAGTAATCCTGTACTTGGCGTAGTTTTTTACACGTAAGTGTTTTTTGGGGGATAAGTATACTTACTGTAAAACTTACAAGCTGACGTAGGTAATTCAACGTCAGAATCTAGCGCAATCTAGCGTTGGTTGTTTGTTGCAATGAGTGATTTGTAGTTTGTTGTGTGATTTCGTGCTGCCAGTATCTGTTTGTTTGTTACAATATTTTATAAAGAAATTACATAATTATTTTAATAAACTACAATATTTCATTCAATTTTAAACAGTCATGGCTTATCCGGTAGGCAATCAAAAATCTTTATACTCTAAATTGTATGAAATTTTACATCTTACTGTTGAATTTTAGGTTAGATTCGGTTATATTTATATAAAATTATAGCTATTTTTATATTACCATGAGTTTTTATGTGAATATTCACAATGAAATTGTTTGAAAGTAACATGAATGTCATGAACTAAACTTCACTTATATTCATTTTTTGCTATATTTACTGAACATAGTTATTATTTCAATGTCATATTAGGCTTAAAGCTTCCCAAATGTATATATGATCATTCTATTAAAATTGAGTTTTTAGATATTTTACTTTAGATATTTTTAAAAGTAGAAATAATATTTTTTTAGTTTTCTGATTTTTATTTTTGTATCTTGTATATAATTTTAGCAACTTGGCAATATGCATGGTGCAACATTAGGCTCAACTACTGGTTCGATACAGGTGAATCCAGAAGTACAACAATGGTTTGCTGCAGTTGATCGAGATGGTAGTGGTAGAATAAGTGCAGTGGAATTAAAGTCAGCATTAGCAAATGGTCAAGGGGGAACATTCTCTGACACAGCCTGCAAACTTATGATAGGTATGTAATTTAAAGATATTGGTAGCTTGTAATCTTATTCAATTAATTGTACATAAATGTAACTATCAAAATATCTGTTAATTTAATTAGAATTAAAGTACATGTCATTCTCACTATTTCTTATACATTTCAAATTATAATCTATATTCAATGTCATTAAAAAATAGAAGATTATTTAACTCATAATAAGTCACTAAGTTTTACTGAAACTTTGTTAAATGTTTCCTAGGAATGTTTGACAAAGAGAAACGGGGAACAATAGACTTGCAAGAATTTCAAGCTTTGTACAACTATATTAATTCTTGGCTTGGAGTTTTTCGAGGATTTGATCACGATAATTCAGGCAGCATCCAGGAAAGTGAACTTTCTGCAGCTCTTACTCAGATGGGATACCGTTTTAGTCAAGATTTTATAAAGTTCTTGATAAAAAAAAGTGACTTCAATCAACATGAAAGCATTACTGTTGATCAATTCATCGTTGTTTGTGTACAAATTCAAAGATTTACTGGTAAGTTATATGGCATTTATCAACACAATTTTTTTATTCATTAATCGCTATTTGAAAATAATCCAGATGCGTAAAAGTATGGTACCAACTGAATATAATCTAAGTACTAAACTATTCTACTTTCGTTTTCTGCATTCAACAGAGGCCTTTCGAATAAGAGACACAAACCAAACAGGCGAAATTAATATAAATTTCGAGGATTTCCTCTCTGTTGCACTAAATTGCAGTGTGTAAACTTCGGTTAATATCAAACTAGAATATAATCCAGTTACATGTGAGTATTTAATTTGTTTCAATAATACTAAAGTATAAAATTAAATACATTTTAGATTTCTTGTTATCATTGGAATAGAAAGCATATTTTTAATTGTATTTTAGAAGTGACTTTGATTTTAAAAGTCCAAGTCGTTCCAATAATAGAGTAATATAAATTTACTGAATAAAATAACTGATATACTTGTCTTTTTGTTCAGAGGTCATGCTGTTCTATGAGCTAGTATTATCCATAATGTTATTCAATTTATAAAGGTGAATGAACTTGCATATAAACCTTAAATGTACGCGGGAAACTCCACGTAGATTAAAAATCTACTTACAATTAGTTTCATATGCAGTTGGAAATCTTGATGTTTCTTAAATCCATCAGCCTAATTGATTTTGGTTTATCCGCCATTTCGTAGCTATTTCACTGGTAAATGACGCAAGCAAGATAATAAGGGAATTACATATGAACTGCATTACATTATTCAAGAGGTGAACAACATTTGTAATTATACCTTGCTGATATACATATAGAAAAGAAAAGCTAGTGTTCGATGAACGTTATTTAAGCTTAATGATAGTATTTTATGAAAAATTTTTATTTTTTTTAATGCAAAATATATATATTGGACATTTAAATACCTCTTAAAAGGATTTTAAGAAGCTACCTCGTATTATGCTTATACAATCTTTTATAGAAAAGGACACGTAGATTATAATATAATAAATCTTATGGATATCTAGAGATTATATGCATTGTATAAGTTGATTAATCAAAAATATACACGACATTCGACCGTTGTAACATATTCAACAGATCACAATAAAAATAACTAAAATTAATAATACTACTTTCATTAGTTCAAGTATAAAACATTCGAAGACCAATTAAAGCATTAAAAATATTTAGAAGAAAATATTGAAATTTTGAATTAACTTGAAGTGGTTAACGTGCAAAATTGCCAGAAAGCAAACTAATTTATCATTACAATTTGTAATTGTAATTGTAATTATCATTACAAATTTTATATGCTACATACACTAAAAACTGGACTAATTGATATCATCGAACATATTACACATTGGTATATTTTAATATAGATAATTTCTTAATTTCACTGTGCAGTATCTCCAGAGTATTCGATAATATAAAAAATATGTCTGAAAATCAAAATAAATAGAAATAATCATTTATTTATTTTCTGAAACAATATGAATAATGGAATATTGGGAAAATATAATGAACGATCATTGAATATAATTGAATAAAAATAATGATAGGAAAAAACAAGTCTTTAAATACGAAACCTGAATAAGCAGTTTATTAATTTATCATGACTTATTGATATTTAATAATTGATAATGGTAGTTACATCTTGTTTCGTGTCTATTACTCTAATATTATCCTAATACAATATACGAGAAATTAGGCGAGGCCGCGAGGAATCAAAGAAGAAGTTTCGCGTTGGAGAATTGTACAAAATAAGTTATACAAGTTCGTTAATTCAATTAAATAATAATCGCTGATACGCTCATGTTCAAACTAATTAATGTTCCATAGGGAATCGTTCTAATCGAAATGCTTGACTATGCGTGATTGCAAAATGATAATCACTGAAAGACATGAGGCGGCGTGGTATTATTTTTCAATAAGTGCATGAGTGTTTATTTTTTGCTATTATTTCGTTGCAACTAAATTGCGATTATTTGTAGCGTTACTTCACCCTCTGGGGAGATACTTTTTATTGAGCCATTTTAACCCTTTGACTGGCAGAAAAATAGGTGCCAACGGACCCATAATGGCAAGTCATGAAACTTGGTACTAGAGGGTACTAGAGGTTGCTGAATACGAATTTGGTGTAAAATTCAAAATGACTGATCCAATATGGTAATCTCAAATTTGAGAAATTCTCCAAATTTGAAGTCGCCATATTGGATTAGCCATGTCGAATATTGTAATTTTTACCCCAAATTCGCATTAAGCGATCCAAAAATCCGTCTATTACCGAGTTCCATTAAAATCATACTAAAGGGTAAGAATTTAATCGATGTGCACACTATTGCGTCAATACCAGCTTTGGCACGTCTTTTTTTCACTCACTATTGCGTCAGTGGCAGTCAAGGGGTTAATGACACCATAATTATTAGTGGTTAAAATAATAACTTGAATGAATCATTCAACATAAATTCATAATGAATTTTCACGCCTTTACTGTATGTGTTACTAATAATTGGCAATCGGTTTAATTATAATTATATACTAATATTGTACTAGCGTCATTATACGCTACCTTAGAAAACAAATAATAATGCCAATTTTTTTCGCATTAATTAACAATTGGTATCGTACTTCTACGTTACTTGTCGCTCCTGATATTTAGTAATGTTTACATACGATATTAATTATATCGAGATAATCAGCGAACTGGAAAAAAGCGTTAACGATAGTAATATGACAATGGGAAATACAATGCTCATGCGAGGGCGAGAAAACGGCTTTATATTACTGTTAATTAAAAAAATACCTATCGCACATATCGAAGTGCCTAGCGTTAAGATGGTCGCAGTAGTTTACGAAGGTACTCTGAATTGAACTCGCATTTTTATTTTATTCTTAATATTATTATCATTTTTTAATATAATAAGGAATATGTATCTTTATCGGTGTGCAGAGAGTGATTCAAAAATGCAGAAACAGACCATTTCAAAATAAATAACTGTTCATAAACAACTTTGGAGAATATAATTCTTATATTTTACGTATTACAAATACAATTTCAACAATTTAAAAAAAAATTAGTTTGCAATGCAAAGATATTTTTTAAGTAAAGTATTTCACTACTGTCACGTTTTTTGAAAATGTATTTTCATACTTGTTTTTATATTTATAACGTCAATTCGGAGAGAAAATTTTTCTCATTTAATATTGTTATCTACAATTTATGGAACAAAATGTACGAAATACAATAACAAACAGTATTTTTTTGTGCACAGAACTATCATCATTGTAAATTTGCATATTTTACACACAAAAAATATCTATAATGAATCTGTCTTCAAATTTGTTTGTTTTGCAACTTATGAGTCACTCTGTACATTTGCCTCAGAAACACACACATACATGTGCGCCGACGTAGTATATATGTACACTAGGGTGGTTGTTAAATAGTGTCTGATCGAATGGAAACGATTTGGGGAGGCGGCGCGGTCGAATTTCGATCAGACACTATTTCACAATGACCCTAATGTACACGTATGTGTGTATATACCCGGTGGCCTAGAGTTAAAGCAATTACAAGAGGCTAGTACAATGCTTTAATGCGACTACTATTATCTTAGCCACCAGGCATATATCTATTTGTATACTTGGTCGCTATGAACTTTAAAGCTTGTACCACTGGTTATCTTTTTTTTCGCTAATTCGAGCCTGCTACGAATAAATTTTGTATTCCTTTTTCGAATTCTTGTATGCATATATATTTTTATCAAATTTAACCAATATTACGGCAACCTTGCGTATTCTTTCATTTAGTACATTTCCTGTTTAAACAACTTTTATAGTCACTCAATATTCACTTTCAATGCACACTTCGTATCTCACATCCTTACATAGGAAATATAATGTACTAATAACTTTGCTCTGTTTCTGATCATTACACTTGTGTTCATTTAAATTTATAATCTCATTTGTCGACTTATTGTATGTATAAACTATAATGATGATAACGAAGATCCTTAATGATGATTATGATAATAACAATAATTATAGTTATGTTCATCTCATCAAGAGCTAAAAATAGTAAACAGAAAATTTCAATTACAATTAATTGTCTGAGTGTTAGGTGAAATTAGTATTTTTGTTTTTCTAAAGGATACGTCAAATGTTTTTATGGAATAGGATTTTTACAATGAATGCAACACAATTTAAACAATGTAATGTGCGATATTGAGTATTTTAATTTCGGTTGTTATCAAGTTGATAGGTCTATGGCCATACGTTAAGGTATTACTACGGATCGAAAAATAACAAAAGTTTCAATGTAAGATTTGAACAATCCAGCGTCAACTTTTGAACTGGTACAGTTCACTCACACACGCCCGTCCCTACATCGATAGGCACACACTAATGTACATTGTATGTAATAGTGTATACGTATATACACCGAATACAGTCTCAAACGCAATGTTGCCGTAACGCTCTTTTGTCTAGCCGTCGTACGAGAGATTTCGTAATAAATATCGAACTTCTTTCATGTCTATCAATAAATCCTATGAGTAAAAAGTTCTGACTAAAAATCTAAAAAATTCCTAATTTTTTCCTTTGCCACATACTAGTTTTTCATCGGAATTACGCGGACGAGTCAAATGCAATAAAAAAAACCATGCGCGTTTTATAGGCCAGGTATAGGGAATACGTGTTACGAATCCTGACTTTAACTTGGAAATACTCGGAAACTGATGAGTGAATCGTGTTAAAAATTTGTAGAGAGATGTACTGCTATACAAATTAGACGTAAAACAAATTTCAGCTCGATTACGCGGTTTTGAGTTTACCGTAGTAATACCTTAAGTACAATTATAAGGATTGTAATATACTGTACAAATAGATACAGACGTACTTATTAATGGACCAGTAATGATTGCTTAACGAGTTGTTGTGTGAGTGCTGGAGTATTAAAACGTTAAGGATCATTGTTAATGGGATCTTTAAAATTGATATATATTTTATCATTCCTTACATTTATATGAAAATGATCATCGGCAGCGATAAGGTAATTTATTTCACGTATCGTTTACTTAAATTTTGAATTTATTGGTTATATGCCTATAACTGATTTCACATACAATTAATTTATTGATGTTGCTAAAATTTTGAAATTTATTGATCATTTTAATTACACTAGCGTCGTGTAACATTGTTTAAATATTTTTATAAATTGTCATAAAAATAAAATATCACGAAATGCTTGTTTCCACAACATGTCTCAAGGTGTTGTGTCTTTTTCAAAGATGCTAAGTAGAATTTGTAATTTTATTTGTTGTTATGTTCCTAATCGTCTTACGTCTTTTTAAGAATTTGATAATATTATTCCTAAACTGTGTCTAGTACATTATATTCTCCATGAATGTAACGGATACGTTGGCTGTGTTTTGTCCAATTACAAAAAAATACACAGTTTCCAAGTGATACACAAGTTTCTGCCGCGCTGTTTATTCTTGTACAATCATTCAGCCATTTATGTCGAGTCTTTCTATTATAAACGTTCTTTCGCAAGGGCTCTGTAGCTGATAATCCGCTATTTTCCTAAAGTCGATTGATCACTCTAATGATCACTATCATTATTCCGAGTATTGGATAAAATTACGCTTATGTTTAACTCGTGTGCTGCTATACTGAAAATGGCCTCGCGAGAAACGTTCGAGAGATAAGATTCCTTTTCGACAATAGAAAATTAGGCTTCTTTTACTATTTCCTAACTGTCGTAACCTATCAAGTTAAAATTTCGGAAAATATCTATAATCTTTCCTCTTTTTTCCCCCTCTATACCAATATCGCAATGTATCGAGTGACCTAAAAAAAACTTCATCCTTCGATATTTCCCGGTTTATGCGTGGTAAACCTTGTTGATTGTATGATGCGATCATCGATAAAATTTATTAGGATTGTGCAACGACCAATGAATATTCGTTCTGCTTCAGCGATAAAATTGAATAGTACAGTATAACCTAGGACAGAAAAGTTGAAAATAAAAAAAGGACTGTAACAGCCCCCCGGAAATAATGAAATATTACGAATAGAAGAGAAGAAGTAACCGAGCGTAAATATAAATGCAAATTGAAAAGATGGCAAGTGTTTCTTCCAAATCAGATAATAAAACTGACATGATTCTATCATAAGCATCGTGTAGGCTTATACAGCTATAACTTAGTGAGCGTTTGTTGAAGTGTAACTTAGAGAAAAATATTCATAAGAAGGTCGTACATATTCATGTATATAAATTACTAAGGTGTAGCTGTATTAGCAGGATTATCATTCATAATCGATGAAATGATAAGAAAAATATAAATTAAAACGAAATCTCATACAAATTTCTTTTAATGATGTCTTCAGTTGCACCTTATTTTTAAAGAGTATTCATTGCATAAACATAGTTATAATTACGCTGATGAAAAATGGAACACATTTTTATTCCATTAAGACTCTGGACAAGCAATGAGAAGAGATAACAACACTGGCAGTGCGAAAAAAAGAAAAAAAAATGCAAAATTTTCAATAAAACGGATGGGTTCGATGCAAGTGGAAGCTAAAGTTAGTGCGTGAAAACTAATCATTTGGATTAGGAATGGAGCAATTCGTAAAATTGCTTAATCTACGTATCATATTCGTTCAATCGCGATTCCTATTATATCCGCTACCGTGTGGCATTACGTACGTTTTATAACGTACGAATATAATACGCATTGTGTATAAGTGTATAATGTATTCGTAACGTCGTACAAATGTAATATAAGCGTCTTTCTTGTGCCCTAAGTAATCTTTTTATTGTATGTAGACTTCTCACGTGTTTTTCATCGAAGGTCATTAATACTATTTAATTGGATCGATCGACTCTTTTAAATTTATAAATTTTCTTTCTAGTCTCTATCGTTCTATCTAATACATCATTAGTCAGGACCTTATCTCGAATCGCTTGATTTTACATTATGAATTCTTTTTATATTTCCTTAATTCTCTGTGTTTCTTATTTCCATAATAAGCTTTTGGCCCTTATCTTCTTAGATTTTTGTTCGTTTAGATTAAAAACTCGCATACCTATTTACAGAATCGGATCTCGAATCTCGTCTGCATATTTACAGAATTGCGAAGTTATCGCGCGTGGCACCTTGGCCGAGGACAATTTTTTAATTAACTTAATTTTTGTAACAATTCATTACCCTTTAGGTTCCTTTTTGTTGATAGTAATTTTCTGTTTTCGATCTTAACTTACAATCCTAAAGCCAACCGCACTAAAGGATCTAATGTGTGTTTCGTTTAAATGTACCTATAGCATTTATGTATTTATAATGTTCTCGCGTTTCTTGCTATTTTTTAATAGTTTTATGTAAAATTTCGTGCGTTGTGAGTAATATAAATAGATGAGGCTTAAAGGCCTATGCTAGTAAAATTTGAAAAGTTCTGTGCAACTTTATGTAATCGTGCAAATACGGAAGTCCTCCGGGACAGTTCGATTTACTTTATCTAATATATTTTATGATATTTTTATAAATTTTCAGAATTACCGGGTGTCTTGATGCGCATTCCCAATGTAACTTAAACAATAAAGAATATTTTGTCATCGTATATCATTCTTTTAAGTTTTCAAAACAGAATAACTACCTCCGATAACCGTAATCGATAATGGGAGAAATTAAGTTACCGTGTATATTATTCGTTGTTAGAATCGTTAAAAAAATAATTGATCTAATCTGATTCGTTTGAACACAATCTCACTAATTTATTCATATAATTCTTACCAAATATTCATTAAACAAAATAGCTTAAACCCCATCACAGTTCTCATCTAATTATAACACTGATAATCGATTTGAATACCATCCTGCATATTCGTATATGCTTTTAGAGAATCGTCAAAATAATAACGGTATGGAAGGAATTTCAATTAAATTCAGAAGTTCAATGTATTCCACGAAAAGTGAAAATTCGACAACACGGATGATTTACAATTGCGCATGCTTTGAGTCCATTAAATTACATAAACTATTCTAAAATCGATTAATTCATCCCCATTAATCATGGGAATCTCTCCGAGAGACCAGCAGAAAACCTCGAAATCCATCCAGACATTTATGAGCATGTTCATCTGTACCAGGATATTTATTTCTGGCCTCCACGACATTTGAAAGTTGAACAGGGTACTACGAGGACGAGCTGTAGGACTGCGACATGGAATGAGGCGCAAGAAGATCCAAGTCTGTAGGATGAGTAGACTGTCCAACCAAGGACACGTCGATGGCACTTTGACCTGGACTGAGGCTAGGGGTTACGATAATTTGTGTCCTAGCGGCACCCAGGAGTGCTGTATTCTCGCAGAACGTTTCTTCTTCATCATCATCTTCTTCTTCTTCCTCTTCATCGTCTCCAATCTCGTCTTCATCCTCTTCAGAATAATCCAGTTCGCTTTCCACCATAACTGAAAGAAATATATGACATTACTTTGTTGTATGATGAACATCGACTTCATTAACCCTTTGCGGTCCGATGTCGATTATGGCTCGACATCGCTTTTCGTTCTAGCACGTCCGATGTCGAGTGTGACTCGACATCGTTTTTTGTTCTACCGCCTCCTGTATCAAGTTTCACTACACTGTTAAAAAAGTTAAGAAATTTACAACACAAAAGATGAAACTTACTACATAGGTGCATATAATATTTAGAATATAGGTAACGCAAATGAGTATTAATGTACATTGTTTTGTAAAATTGTAATCAAGCATTAATTTTATTATGCGTTTAGCGAATATAATATATTCGACTCTGATCATTAATAAGAGGTTGAAGAATTTTCAATCAATTGTAATGCAATCATACATTTAGGACTGAAAATTACAATACTTGAATTGTAATATTACTGTTCGATGACTTCACTTTTAATGTACAAGTTATTTAACATTCAATGGTGTTTTTGAAATTTCATAAACGGTTTCTGTAAAAGAGCTTCCTGCACATGTTTATGAATTTTACCACAGATTTTTTTAACAGTGTACGTCTCACTTGTAGACAAGATAAGAATGTGCTACCGCAGCAGATGTAAAATAAGCGATGCACTTGCGAATCCAGCGCGGACCTGCTGGAACGAAACGGTGAAGAGCGTTCGGTCCGCAAAGGGTTAAGGATCTGTACATTTGTTACAATGATTCGAGCTACATCCAAGGACTACGTCTAGTCGGTCAATTTTGGTTTTTCCTTTGTATGTATATTTGAGAAGGGATGATGGATAAGGGTTGTATACAGAACAATTGATTGAGTAAAAGAAAGGATTGGTAAAATATAAAAAGCAGATGTGATAGATGGTTATATTTAATACGTAAGTGACGGGACTGATAAAAGATAAAATTAAAAGTTATATTATAGGCTGGTTTTATATAGAGGATAATTCTAAACTAACGTAACAACTGAAGTTGATTCTACCACAGAGATAAGATAGATCTGCAAACTTCGTGTGGTACGTTAGTTTTGAATAATTCTATATGATTTATGATAAAGGAGTGAAATATAAGTTTGTGACTATTGATATTAGGGGAAGAAAAATGGCGCGTTAATTGAAGATTCACAATGAGGTAGGGGGAAGGGTTTTGTTTTCATTTAAAGTGCAACACGATGCAAGTATGTGCAATAGGGACAGCTGTAAACAGATTCAACGGATATGCATGTAAAATGCATTTATTAAATCCTTGGAGAATGTTTATTTTAAATAAAAATATATGTGGATTGATTAATTTATGAAAACGTTAATTCCGAGTTTAGGAACATCACAGAAAAGTTTGTAAAACAAAAGTACAATAATACAAAATAATGAAATATGTATCTATTGATGTAGACGATTCTTAGTGTTTTACATCCAACAATGCAAAAATCCATTAATCGCAATGCTCTGAAAGGTTTAATAAAACGATGAGACACCAACCATAAATACAATAGAAGAAAGTCGAAGTCTGGATAACAATGTATTTTATCCCTTGGGGAGACAAAGGCAACGAAAGAAAGGAGATAAAGAATTAGTGCGGCAGAGAGCTAAACTCAGAGTTAAAGGGAAGAAGAGAAATAGATTACAATATGGATGCTCGACAAATTGCGTAAGATCGGAGCACGATGCAAACGTCAAACACGTCCGGCATTCTCAATAATTTGTTAATATTTAATAACTCACTGTACGCTATTTCTTTGTTATAACGACGTGGACGACGAACAATCGTCGAGCGAGGCTGAAAACGTACACGACACACTTTTACCAAACGTTTAACTGTACATTTCAAATGTCATAAAGTTTACTGTGTAAATATCCTGTCTTTCTACTACGTTCCTTATTTTCGTTTACCGTTGCACGGATTTCCTGATAACTAAACCTTGTAACAGTAGGTACAATCCATAATGGTGCGCATGTATGTACACATGTCCAACGTCTTTATCGAATTGCACATGCATGTGATCACTACTTGCATCGTTGATGTAAAAGAGGTACAGCCAGATCGTGAGATCAGTTTTAATTTGAAGTGGCTAATATTTTATGGATTCTAATATGAATGAGTCCCTTCAGCGTGAAAAATGATGTTGCAGCCAGACAAAAAATGTAATGAATTTAATTTTTTTTTTCATTGCAAATATATTACAATTTTGAAATTCAGATCCAGTCGGATAGCGTTACGAATACAGAAATAAAATTATTTTGATTATTTCATTAATGAATTATATTTTTTTGTTTTATACAATTTTTCGATATTCTGAAGGTTTTCAAGTTAGTAATTTTGCATTGTATCTAAAAAGTACACGTAGCATATTCTGTGCGATTACATCTAGAGCATTAACCTTGTCCGTACATGGATATAAGTAAGAAAAATGTTAAGAAATTTGAATGTTGCGAATTAAACGAATTAAGACACTCACACTCAGTGTACATAAATAACGCACATGTTCACATATCGAAACGCTAATTTAATTACACACTGCACATATGCATAGTTATGAGGCTTCAGACATGAAAACTTTTGCGATAATCCTGCGGTGTAATGAAAGATGGGGTTATTAAATCAGCTGAAATATGCAGTTACAGTACAAAACAAATATGGAAATATCATTGTTATTTGAATATAAATAACACATATTAGAGATTATGATTAGCAATAGTACTATAGGTAGATCAAGTATCTAAAGTAAAAGTATTGCCATACCCGTGGATTCCTTGGGACTGTGAACTGGTTCTGAACTTTGCAGTGTGGAATCTTCGTGTTCTGTGTCTGGATCCGGAAGCGAGGGAACTACTATCACGACTTCACCATCCCTAGTTGTTGTCATTGGGGATGAGTAGGTTGTCAGGGCGGTGGATCCTGATGTCGTTGGTTCAGCTGGATGCATCAAATGAGACGGTATTGAACTAGAAATTCAAATTTTCAATTACGACATCTTCGTTAAAAATTCATAAATTTGATAGAAAAATAAAAATTGAAATTATTGCTCATCATAGCAAGATGTATTTATCCAAAATTGACATTGATTGAGAAAATTAAAGAAATTTTAATCATTTTACCTCAATGTGACCCTTTTTTTGACACGACTTCCAAGGTCTGAATGTCCACGGTGCATTTGTCGAGGTTTTTGTTGCTCTGATGGAAATGACCTTGTAGTTGGTGAACTTGGTTCTGAGTGTTGCTTGTCCACTAGAATTGGTTTAAGGACACCACTGACACCTCCACCTGGGGTTCCAGGTGTTCCTGGCGTCCCGGGTGTTCCTGGCGAGGGTACAGATCCCCCAAATGTTTGGTTCGCTTCTGTATCCGGAGCCGGAAGTGGTAACGTGAGGATTCGTTTTCGGTCCTCCATGTAGAGCTCGATTAATTGATCCAATTTGACCTCGATATCGTCAACCTGAAGTTTGTTTAATCCACTTTTATTATATAACGTTATGTTATTTAATTTAAAATACATTTTTTAATTCAGTTACATTTCAATTAGTCAGTTGGGCATTCATTTTATGCAAATGCATGTATTACGTCAAATTTATTTTAAACAATATATAAATAACAAAAATTGAAAAGTGCTAATAAATAGATCACAATAAATAATTTATCGTTTAAGACGAACTGTTGTAACAATCGGAGCATAATATTATTAGTACCTGTAACTGAATATTTTGACAACGAAAAAAAAAACAAGAAAAAGAAAGAAGATTTATTTCATATAGAAATTAATATTTTAATGCGTTTTTAAGAAATCAGTGATGAAACGCTTATTGAACCTTTGGTTATTATACTACATATGACAGTGGTCAACAAATATTGATATGTAATACTATATGTATAGTCTTATGAGATGAAATTGATAGAAAAAAAAAGAAGATTGATTACCTGTCTCTCGACTTTGACGACTCTCGAAGCAAGACTGATCTTAGACGCATAGACATCCCTCGCCTTCGATCCTTGCTTACCTAAAATTTGGTCTAGCCTATGTAAAATAAGAACTCATGAGAATTTCATTCCGTCACATAAATACGTGGGGTCGCACAAAGCCAGCAAGAGAAACAAAGCAAAGGAGCCGAAGCGATAGTTTACAATTAATCAGGACAAGTGAAACATGCAATAACTGACAAATAGATAGAGTGCTATGAGGATATCATGGCTACTAATAGGAAGATATATCAAGAGTAAACAAAGACGATGAATTTCGCGTGAACAGTGGCGATAAGCGCGCTCGAGTTTATAATTACAAAGTCAAGACTTTAACACCGCGCATGCGCGGAACTTAGTCGCAATATTTAAATTCAAAACAATTATGTTACACAGTTTATAGATCCTATGATTCCAACGTTAACAGTCAATTTCAGTTTAAAAAATATGATATCGTATTGAAAAATTTGCCTTACTGAACGTGAAAAATCAATAAAAGAGATTTAATATGCCTGTAAAACGGTACTGTCATAATAAAGAATGAAATTGATCAATTTGAACGCAAACCAAATCTAAATGAATGTAAATCTAATTTTTAATTTGAGACCTAATCTTTTTTACCCATATCTGGTTACATAAGTATTACATGTAAGTGTTAAAGTAAATTACACAATAGCAACTGCGTTATTTTTTTTAAATTTTCCCTACGATTTACACCAGAGATTATCCTTGCTACCTAAAATGAGGAATTTTATCCGTCGAGTGACGAGGATCCATTTATCTCTCATACGTCAAAGTTTGGATGACTCTAATTGTAGAAAATATTAACAGCCTTTATACCTGTGCTTATTCTTTTTTTAGGGCCAACGCATGCGAAATATTTATTTAATAGCAATGAGTGATTGTCTATTATACATATATTCGTATACAGATAGGTACTGTGATGTTACATATTTGATTTAATAATCCACTGTCAATTTTTACACTGTGTAAATCGATCATTCTCGCCGTAAGAGCTATTTACCGGTTAAATATCTTATGAGATTGCATATTAGCTTCTGATATCATGAATCCTTCATGGGTACGGCTTGGATGAAGCACAAGAAAACTATCACCTCCCAAAAAAAAAAAACTATGAATACTCAATGCTTCAACATAGCACGTAACATTGAAGTCTTCTGACAAAAAAGTTTTATTTTGCATAAAAATTTGCTTTTTGATTAAAACGTCACAGTCCTACTCAAAAGTTGGATCTACCATTATAGAACATATGTGTACTGAAACATGATATTTACATAAAAATGCAGTGCACAATACGCAGGGCCAAAAGTTTAATCTAGTTATAATGAAATCCGTAGGTGTACTGCCGGATAAAACAATTTTGCCCCTAGTGGTAAAAATAATTGCAATTACTTAGTGCGCGATAAGGATTGCTCTAGATTAGGATTAGGTGAATTTTGAATATTAAGACGATTCCGTAAATTTGGATAAATTGTGGAAGTCCGAAGTGACAGGGTATAAATGCAAGCGCACAGGATGCTTCATTGAAATGGAACCGCCGGAGGAGGATCGAGGTACCTGAATTGTAGGTTTCGTACGCGATTGAGGAGGTCCGCGTGTCCTGAGCTGTATTGTTCGATGACGTCCTTAACGTCGTAGGGTTTCAGTGCTTCTCTGAATTTCTTCCGAGCCACGAAGTACTTCAGCTTCGTTCACAGCACATGCGATATACACGAGTTTACTCTAGATTGCGGTTAATTATTATTTATATTCGCCGATCATTGGCTCTTTTGATATTGCTGACTTTTATTTATAGAAGTAAAAAGGCTGTCTTCATTTTCATTTATTCAAGTTACCTTACTCAAATATCTGTACTTGAATTTATATAGGCAATGTTAACGCTCGCTATTATTTATTAAAGTTTAAAGTTTAAAGAAGAAATTCTGTGAATTTCTACCACAGACGAACGATTTCGTTTAATTATGATATTATGTACAGAGTGTCTCATGAATTGAAAGCATCATTTTTGTAACTTAAAAATCACTAAAGTATTTACGACGCCTTCATTCTTGGGTCGCCCTGTATACATTTGTACATTCCTATCAGAGAATGCTGTGAATGGTACCCATTTTTTATCACGTAATTATAATTTCGTTTTGCCAAAAAAATTTAGTTTTTATTAACAGTTCCTGTAGTGGGTACACAAAAAATTATATGAGGTTTTTCCCAGTAACATATTCTTTTCCCGAAAAAGCTTCTTATCGTCAAATTTAATTATAGCGAATCACTCGAATCATGGAAATTTTGACTGACTGTTTAGCTCGTGAATACCCATTACTACTATGACTATTATGAGCAAATGAACTTCAGTAATTAAAAACAAAGCGATGAATGCATTGAGTAGTATACATATACATAAATGCTTAAATCGAAATTTCGTCATATTAAAAAATTAAACAATATATGTTATTGTTGCTGATAAAGTTCAATTATGCTAAATTATGCAATCACATTTTTGTATATTAACCTCCCACATATTGCAAAAAATCCTTCAGCATTCTCTAACCAAAAATTCAAAAACTTAATGTACGATAAACGTATCCTATAAAGTATCTACTGTCGTATGATAATTCCGGCTATATTCATCTATCATTCTCCTCATCCTCCCCTTGTTCCCTTATCGGAAACGATCTTCCTTATTATAAATGAAAAATTGCAATTTCCGCAAACGCCATAAGATGATGCAGATGATGCTGAAAGAAAGGAAGCATGCTGAATGAACAATTTCCGTTCGTAGACAAGTGTCATTTGGATGCTTTTTTCCATTCTGCCTTTCTTATTTCCTTGTGCAGAAAAAGAAGAGCCGTAGACATTCTCCATGTGATGACAATATTAACAAGTGTTATAAAATATATATGTACGTAATACGTTACAAAGACACGGGACAAAACAAAATTATCAGATATCACATTTCAATGCATCACACATCTAATCGCACATGACACTGTCAAAGAATGAAAGTAGAAAAACATTTTATACTTTGCAAGGTGTCTCCACGAAGGAAGTATAAAATCGATAACGATAACAATATAACGAAGATAAGTTCAAGATGCGAATCTAGCGGGCATCACAATGAGGAGAAGAAGAAGAAGAAAAAGTGTTGGGAGATGTAGATAAAATGAGCGATAAGGGAAAGGTTAAAAAACAAATGATTCTCAAATGCAAAAGGGAAGGAAGGTAATGGAGAAATGGATTTTTTTGAATATTGTAAATTTTAATTAACTCGACTCGAGTTAACAAAATATCTTATTATAATAATAATTCTAATAATAATTCTTCAATGTGACGTGCAATAAATCAAATAAAAAATAATAATTCAAATAATTTTTCCAAATATTCATACATATACTATATTATTATGAAACCAATTTCGTAAAAAGTAAAAGAAAATGATTATAAATCGTTTCAAAACAAGTGATTTCATTGTAATTTTGTTCGACTATTTCATGGAAGTAACAACGCGATTGCACAGAGTGAGTTAACAAATATCTAAGATAATGTTGTAGTGTTCGACGTAACTTTTAATGAAAAATAATAAATTAGTGTTTCGTATCTCCAGTACAGTGAGAGCCGTTAACGGGAGTCTCTCTCTCTCTTCCTCCCTCTATAATTTTTTTTCTTAATGACTTGTGACATTTTTGCGAGAGAATAAATCGCCGTGAAAAATAGAGTTTTAAAATCGGTGTATTCAAAAAGTGCCTTCTTTAACTTTGTACTCTGAATTTAAATACAATAGATAAATTCCTGCAATGCTGACCCGATAGCATTGACTTCGCATGACGTATACAATAGATAATTGATAAATGAAAATATGCGGTAGGGTAAAAAATGGTAAGAGTATAAGAGCCGATAACGACGATCCTATTAAAAAAAATTATTAACCGCAAGATGGGAAAGAAAATAAAAATGAAAATCATTTGTGTATATATTCAATTGTCAAAGAAAATTTTAATAATTACAAAGATTTATAGCAGCGATGTTTAAATATCGAATAAAATTAATGTTTCGTGAATAATTGACAATTACGTATACTACGTATGTATTTTCCATCTACTCCATTTCAAGTTATAACGTAAAATCAGAAACTTTACGTTGACAAAAATCATCACTAATCACGTGTACGTGATACATAAGGAGATGGAAGGTATGAAGTTCTAATGATAACAAAAGGATTTCAATCCTTTAGCGCCGAACGTTACATATTCGTAACACTCATTTACTACACAGATTTCTACTTTATCGATTTTAGAGATTTCCCATCGGGCTCAAAGTGAGTGTCTCAAATATGTATACTAAGCTAGCAATAGATTGGTTATACAGTTATATACAGTTTGGCTTCCCCCACTAATCATCCAAGACTACTCCTTACGATGGTTGTACTATAGCGCTCGGTGTTAAAGGATTAACAATAATAATAGACAGTAACAATGGGTTGCGAAAAGGGATCAAATGTCGGACACGTATGATGCATGTGTACTGAAAAGTAGGAAAATAGAGTGGAAAAAGTTAAAAGAAAAACTCAGGCAGCGATAAGGGTACCTAGTTTGAACATTTTTCACACGGCCGAGGAGGTCGACATGGCCGGCGCTGTACTGCTCGATCACGTCCTTAACGTCATACGGCTTCAGCGCCTCCTTGAACTTGCGCCTCGCGACGAAATACTTCATCTGGCACCACACAATCATATTATCCACCAATTTAACACTGTGACGTCACCGTGCGTAACACTCGACGAGGAAAATTGTTCTGAGAGTTTGTGACTAAAATATCGTTAGCTTGTTCATATACATATAAGTGCCTTCCACTTTGTTCATTCTAAACGACGATATTCATAAAACCTCATTTGCACACGTGATAATCCGAACGTGAAAGTCTAAATAGAAATATTATATTTTTTAGCGAAATGCTATCCAATTTTTGTTTATATATTTAAATTGATGCACTAATAAAAAATGTATAGATATTTCATATATTTTAATACCGATTACCTTTCATGGTATTTCTCACTGATACATTTCTCCTCGTTGAGAATACGACATGGTTGCTTGTTCAATGCTGTATGTATATTTTCAATGTTGAGTGATACGAAAGCTGCTCGAAGCTCGTTTAATGTATTAAATTTATTTTACCAGTAAAGTGCAGCCAATTTAACTGATGATAATTCGTCATAATTTATACGCTTGATGAAATCGAGGTATCACCTGAAATACTTACTGAAAATCCTACTCTTGGATTTCCATTTGATCCTTTCGAGATCTATTATCCCTTTATGCTATCTTGCGATCTAATTGAGTATAGCGTTACATTCGAAACTCTTAAGCACGTGCGTAGAGAAAAATTTCTTCTTTTCCCTTTCGATACAAACTTAAACTTATCGCATACATATAAAGGGAATCTAAAGGGAATTTAATGGGAATCTTATCCGTCGCTTTATAAGTATTTCGATTTAAAAGCAATCGTAACGCGATAACAATGTTCTAAGCAAATATTTTAAAATTTTTATAACTGTCACTTTCCACGCTTACTTTTATCGATTTGACCTAAAAATATCAAAAGACGAATAAACCTTTAAACGTAAAAGATAATAAATCATAATATGTCTGTAGGCACAAATTTTGATCCACTATCTCCACGCGATAGTTACGCGTGCCAGGATATACGCATTTTTAATGTCCGCTTTGAACGATAACATAAATGCAATCGGATAAGCAAGTTTTAACCATTTAATAATTTTTCCAACTACGCGATATATTTTTCTGACGTTGTAAAGGACTAAAGATCACACGCGAGCCGTTACAGAGAGCGACTGCCAGAATTATTTGTAACTCCTAAGCGTTCATAAATAATAGGCAGATGGAGAGAAATCCGTAACGTAGACTCGAAGGGTCATTACGTCATTAGCATAACGACGTTTAATCCGATGGGTCAAAATTTACAGGGCGGATGCCTCGAAGAAACATGGCTTGCGAGTTTCCCGACCCTTACGGTGCTTAATGGCAAAATCAATGTAGGCCGTTCCGTTTGTAGTCGTGTACCAAGAAAGTGCAGGCCCATGTTGCACGTACTTTGATTGTCAGATCCCTAGGGTGCTGATTGACTAACCAAACACCATGGTAAACCACGTGGGACTGAGGTCATGGTCGAACGTTTTACAACTACACGAAGAGTAGTCCTATGTCTCGTAAATGTAAATGACAGTGGAAATATATTAGTATTTTAATCGTCATTTTTAAATTATAACGTGATTATAGAGAAAATGATTCCTGGTTCTGACAATTGGCTAGTTAAGCAGTTGACGGTTAATATAAAAAGAGAATATCAAATAGAATGTAAAGTGAATGAAATTCATACCAAGCTATCGGACAGGATGCACTTGGTATTATATATATATTTTCCTATGATATTATTGGCATTTCCATTACCGTAGGATGAATTAGTTAATTAGTCGATTAGCTGATTGGGTTGACTGTTATAGCCGTATCGGGAAACAATAAAGGACTATCATCGGCTTCGCGTGCGATCTTACGCCTTTTATTAGATAGATCATTTCAATTGATTGTATTATTCATAGTAAGAAAATTTTTTAATTTATGTCAAATAGATTTGAATTTAACACTCACCTTTCGTATGGCTCTAATTGCTCCTTTGTGTTGATTAGTCAATTGGACGCATCGAGGTTCTTCGTCCTCATCTGTCAAAGAAATAATTACAAGTTAATATTTTATAGGATGCACGTGCATTATGCGTTATGATTTCGTAAAGAATTTCATTGCAAGGAGCAATTATCATGAGTCAGATTCTGATACGTGGATACGTATACACATATAAAATGTTATAGGTTGAAACACAAACAATTGTTACTAACAACTTTTGCTAATTAACTACTGTGATTGCTTAGTTTTAAAATATTTATGTATGGTATGTTCATCGCGTTATATTACGATTACAAAAAGAGTTAGTTCTGGACAAGAAAAATTTTACAGTTTTAACTAATTAACAATGGGGACACGTGGACAAACAGTCTTTGCAAAATGCGTCATGCATGGGAGACTTATTTGAATTTCTTATGAGCAATACATGCGAGATCGACGGACTAATTCTCTACTGATAGGTAAGATAGTTTGATTTTCTTTCTTGCCCTTGAAGATTATGATTTAATACCGTTTTGGATTTTTAATTAAAAATAGTATTCTTTTAACGAGTTTTTTATCTATAAGGTGTCCATTTTACTTGATTCATTAGAATATCTCACGAACCGAGGGTTCAATCGAAAAAAGTTTCCTAAAAAAATGGCATGGCTTAGAGGGAGAAATGTGGGGAAAATATAATATTAGGGAAAATGTACTATTTATAATCCTGAAGTTACAGCAACAAATGCTTTCTATTTAAATAAAACTATGTATTTTTTCTTTCCAAGTTTCTCGGTTCGAAACCTATAACTTTTAGAGGAGCTATTTCTCGACTAACTCAAAGGTTGATACTGTTTTCTTCATTTGAGAGGTTACATTCAATATGCAGTATTCAGTAGAACTGTGCGGTATGAGAACCTACGATCTGATACAAACTCATTTTTTTCCAAAAGTATTTGTATTCTTTGCTGAACATGAAGCAGAGACTAAACGTCTTTTCTTTGCTTCATTTTTGGCACAGAATGCAGATACTTTACACTACTCCGTGAATTATCATACGAAACAGTTGTAATGGATAGTGGATATTGAGTGTAGCCTTTCAAATGGGGAAAACAGTGTTAACCTTTGAGTTAGTCGAGAACTGGTTCCTCTAAAAGTTGTAGTTTTTTAACCGAGGAATTTGAACAAAAAAGGAAAAATATATAGTTCTATTTAAATAGAAAGCATTTCTTGCTATAACATCACCATTTTAAGGGAAGATATTTCGCGCGTTCGTACATTACCGGACAGTGTGAAACTTTCGTGGAAAGATCGTACATATTTAAAAATAACACAATATCGTATAAATGTATGAATGAGATATTGGTCAAATGTTTTTTAGGAGAAAGACGCGTAAGAGCGTCCAATTGGACTGAAAATGATAAAATATTATCGCAGAGATTGTAAGAGGTAAATACTGTTTTAACAGTGATTCTACTTTTTTTTCCTATTATCTCTACTGCCTTTTTGGTTTAAGGATTCAGAATATGTAACACCTAGGTGCATTTGCATTAGCTCACATGAGTTAGAAAATATACGTGACAAATTTGGAAACTGAGAACACTGGATTTGATAAGAATACCATCTATTAAAATTGACTTCCTTAGCAATGAAATTAGCTGTACTGTTGCTTTTTATGCACTATGCAAGTTTGTAAAATAACATGTCCTATAACATTTCAGTAACTTGAGTTTCTGCCTTTAATATAATTAATAATGTTTTTCATAAATCATAATATTATACGCTTAATGTTACTATACTATATCACAATTATTCGAAAGAAACTGTTATAATTATTATTATAATAAAACACAATTATGATTGCCAGCCAGAAACTGCTTCATTAAACTGATAAATTAAAGGTTTAAGGAATTTGAATTTACAATGGTTTAACGCATTTAAGATTTCATGGCAGAGAATTACCACATGACTTATCATTTTAGATAATACAACTGTATATTTAATTTGGATAACACCACTGTACATTTTCTTCAGAAGTCAATTTTTTTTTATTGACTTAAAAAATACTTTAGACCCTGTAAAATGTGGGGCAAAAGTCTCATACCGGATTGCAGACTGATGGTAAAAAATTTGTATTTATAGAATGTTCAATATATTCACGCCTAATACTCATTTGTAAGCTTTGAACGCGTTTTTCTCAAAACATGATTTTTCAAAACGGCACGCAGCATAACTTCAACAATTTTCACCCTTTTCATTCCAAATTTTAACCACATATTAAAAATTACATTTCAAAGAGAACTACGTAGGGGATTTTCGATAAGTCGATTTAAACATTATTTATAAACAAATGAATGCCATTTTTTCGACAAAAAATTAACGATTTTATTCAAACACTCGTCAATCGCTCAAAAATCAATATTTCTAAAATCCCCTACGTAGTTCTCTAGCTATTATCATGAAGATTAAGTGGAATTTTTGTTTTATTCAAAGTTAAAATCTGCATTAGCTACACTGCGTGCCACAGAGTGCCTCAAATTCAACGTGCCTTGGGCGAATGGCTCTAATGGCGCCATTTTTATTCATATTTGTGTCATAATTTTTGCTCTTGTACTTAAATATAATGTTAATAACTCCACCAAAGATTATTATTCTACTACCTTTCCTTCCTTGTCAAAAAAATTACCAAAAAAACGCCTTTTTTCGGGCGTTTACAGTGGTGTTATCCCTTAAACTAACACATACTGTAAGATATAATTTTCTATTTAATTCAAAGAAAGTTATCTTTACACTTAAAGACCATTTTCTTGACAATTGTTTAATATCGATAATTTAACTTTCTTCATCACAATAATATTGGTGAATAATTATATGATCGCTATTGTTTTAAACATATACATATATGTATATAATGTAAACAAAAAATAAAGAATTGTTTAACATAAATGTTCATGTATCTGATAGAATTTTTATATTATTTCTAGTTAGTGTATCATAAATATGCGAAATAAAGAATTTGCAAAAAAACTATTCATCAAATAAATATACTGATAAGTTTTGCGCGTACGGACATCTTTAATATAAGTGACATGAGAGAATCCTGAAATGTCAGGTTATATATGATTGCGTGAGGTGAGTGCTATAAGGCGTAATACCATACCAAAAATACGTATGTTGCGCATATGTGAGAATGCGTGAGGCACGTGCGAGAGGAAGTACTGGCCAGAGAAGCCGGAAGGGCCAAAGACGGGTCAATCCGATTGACGAACCCTGACACGAATGAATGAGCTGAGAAGCATCGGAGGATGAAACGAGAATGACATAAAAGTTAAGGAGGACAACGTATGAAATTTCAAGTGTGACAAGCCATGAACGTCTAAAAGTTATTATATAAAATTTATAAAAAAAAGAAGCTTTTTATTAAGCTACTAAATTTATATGCAGCTTTACGGACAAATAAAATTAAATCATTGTTCTTGAATTTAATATACAGATACATATTCCTTGCTTCATCTTCGTTGTTCTATAAAATTCAGTTAAGTTGTATAATTCATGAAATTAGCACCTTCAATCGATATACACTGGTTAAGCAGTTTATGATTACATTAAATAATGTGAATATAGTCGTTAAGGTAGAACATTGCATAATAAGTGTACAGAATTAATTAAAACAGCCACAATTTGAAGTGAATGCACTAGTTTGATTTAGCGAGGTGCATAAAGTGCTTTTTGAATATTAAAATATCTTGCACGCTTCTATTCTACAGATAGTGTAGCATATGTGACACGGTATTAAATGAAAATTGTGTATGAGTATAAAATACACCTATGCCATTGCTGATGGTTGTGTTGAAATTTAATGAAAGCAAAAAAAGGCTGTAGGATGCTCAACTTTAAAAATACATGATGTCTGCATTCGCAATGCTATTTTTTTTTATTGACTTTACTACTTTTTTTTGGCAATGAAATTTGCATCAAATATTCCCTTTTGCTACGCAAAGTCATGCCCAACGTATATTCGACTTCTAAACTTCATTTCATTAACGTTCGAAACTCTATCGATTCAAAATTTAAATCGTGAAAATCCTAAATAACACAAATGCGACTGACAGGTTTTAATCAATCGCAGAAAATATATTTATGTCAAGTTTCGATCATCGCTTCTGTAGTAATTTTATAACGAATAAATAACTAGCGTACAAAGTGTAGAAGAAAATTGTCAATGCGACTATTTCACATCTTCACTTAGTATCTTTTTTACAAATTGCCTATACCAGCAAATACTAATATCTACATTGAACAATTATGTCACGTTTTAACTTTAGCGTCTGAATAACATTTAAAATTTTGAAAATTAAAATTATTGTCTTCCAAATTTTATAAATAGCACTGTGAAAATCATGAAATTTTTGTAATATTATTCGTAGCTCCAGTCAGTATGCAGTCGTATGCTTCCATCTTCGTAGATAATTCTTCCTTGCACGCGTGAATGAACAGCTTGAATCTACCCAGTGAACATTTTTTCCCGCAACTGAGATAAAATTAATGCAAAACTTATCGAATATTACATCTCGATGTTATTATTTTAAAAATATGGTATGAGACATTCGAATCGTCATTTGAATTTCCAGCGCTTCACTTTTGGATGAAACTGTACATCCAGATTATCGATTGCCAAAAAAGATGATCATTCATTCGCTGTTGACTCGCGTTTACTTTAATGTGTGGTAAAGGATAAAGTGTCAATACGGATCATCACATCCATTTAAATTAAACGTAGAAAATAACAAACTCTGCTTCTCTTGTACGAATTAAAATTTTGATTACCGTATACTTCACGTGTCTTTCCAATTTGTCAATGACAAATAGTTATTTATAAACATTAACTTACTTCGTATATGATCTGTGAGTAATTAACGCAAATAGATGCTGTAAGCTATATACACTTCTCTAAAGTATTTTATTAGAGTGATAACACGTTGAATCCGTTTCCCGTGTGCTTGCACGTATTACTACGATGGCATTTATTACGTGTAATTCCAGACTCGGTGGTATAATCATATAAAAGTTGAAATTTGTGCGATCGTGATAACTCTGGTGCATAGTTGCTATCGTGTAACTTTTTTAACAATACTGTGTTTAGGTCAATCCTAACTTTGAAATTGTGCAAATTCTAAACGTTCTACATATAAAGTTTCTTTATGATGCGACGCAACGTACACGTGGTATGCGAATAGATATGTGAATAGATACATATGCACATTTTACGAATTCATTGGGACTAGTTGCAGATTTTTGAGAATAAGAATGGAAAGTAGAGGAAAATATTTTTTCGGGACACGCAATGGATCCTTATACGCACTGGATATTTTTACTGTCGGTAGGAAATCTAAGGTATTGACTTATTACCTAAAAGGATTGAAAGGAGGAGCGTCTACGGATTTCTTTGTAATAGTCGTTTGTGTAAAATCCCTTTGGATTTTCGGAGAATTTGTCTAAAAGTCTAAACAATTCGTCTGACAATTCGTCTAAAACATTTCCTCTAAAATATTTCGTCCAATAACAATTGGTCCAGAATACGGTAATTGTTCGCATTGGAATTTTTCCAATTTTTCAAATATTTTATACTTTTTATTTTTGCAAACAATTATATTTCGAAAGTTTCTCAACGACAGCCAGAAATATTCATAGTAATTTTCAACTTTGTCGGGGAAATATCTATAGAACTTTTTAACAGTAGCGAAAGGTATCTATAGAGTGTTTCAACTACAACGAGAAACTTTCAGAGTTTTTCACTTTCGAATATATAAAAAATTTAATGGTTTTTGGGCACATAGCTATTAAAAAAAATTGTTTTAGACGAATTGCTTTAGATGAATTTTCTCTGAACGATGTCTTTGAGTATGTATAGATGAATCGATATAAATATTGTGAAATGAAAACATAGGTAAATTCAATTTTGACAACACTATTCAAAAAGATAGTCAATGTACACGTTTTCAAGTTTCTGTGAGTCTATTGAAAATGCTGAATCCGCACAGACGGAGAAAAGGAATAGTGTACAGATATGGACTATATATGCAAATAATGTTAACAATGAAAACGTTTTGTAAGCTTGTTGGCATGAAAAAAAGATTTTACGTGCTGCTCCATAAAATTTAATGGGCCTTCATATCAAGCAATGTCTCCATGATACACTATAAAATCAAGCTTTACAAGCCCACAATATTTTCGTCGACAATTTAATCAAAACCACATTCCTCGATTTAAATACAGTAAAACCGCGCATGGTATCAACGTATGTACAGAAACAATGCAATATACATTTGACAATTGTAAAATTGTGAATAACCACAGCAATAAAAAAGACTCTGCTAATAAAAATGACTGCTAAAAACGATTTAAAAAAATGTATCATCAAAAATTTTAAAATGCGTTCTACCGTTTAGAATAAAAAATAAGACCTATAACAGATCCATCGTAATGGTGGAAATGAAATGCAAGTATAAAAGTACATGGTACAAGTGCATATACGAAAATAATAAAAACACAATGTAAAGTATGAGAAACGCACGTGAGTTGGTATGACCCATAAAGGGACGTAGGATTCGAAGCATGGGAGTTGTGAAAAAAATATAAAAAAAAAAAGAGAAAGAGTGGTTCGAGCATACATTTGTCTGAGGTTGGAGAAACTGTCGGGGATCCAGGCGAGATTGGTAGAATGCTGGTAAGCGTGGGCAGTAGAGGTAGCGTGGAAATAGCATGTGGTGGAGGCATCAGGCCTGCGAGGGCCAATGGCAAGGTTGAAGATGTCTCGCCAAGGCGACCGATCAATCCATCCAATCGAAGTTCACGAAGCTCCAAAGTCGACGACGATTTGCCCAGTCGACATTTTCCTCCGCCGTTTGCTTCGCCGCCACCACCACATCCTGATTCAGTGGCCATAATTCTCATTCTTGAACCATCTAGACACACTCTTGGCTCCTACCGAGCTCCTTCAACTTGTTTTAGAAATTCTCAATTGGCTTCTTAATTCTTGAATGTCTTTTCCCACGTGTTTCGTTCGAGATTCTACTTTGCTTGAACTCTTAGTACGTTTATAATTGGTTGGATTAATTAAGCAGATAATATTTTATTACGATGAAAATGAATCGCGATCATTTTTTTTTAAATATATGCCAATATTCATAATTTTGATAAGTATTATAAAGAGTTATATTAACCTTTTTGTTATTATTTTTATATTCTCTGTATATATATTTATATGATTTTTCTTTTTAGGTACAGAATGTAATTTATGGAATTAACTTTTATGATCAACAGATGAAACTTAAAAAAAGTGTCAAACTGTTCTTGATAAAAATTTCTGTTTGTATAGAATTATTCAATAAGTAAAATCCTTTAGAAGATCTTTGCAAGCAATTGGAAATATTACTGGTACTGTTAAATTAGATATCTAGAAATCCATTGAGGACTCGAGGAATATTGAACCTTATTAAAATTAATAAATACTTTCCTTAGATACCTAAAGAAATCTGTATTAAATTATCTTATCCAATTACTTCGTAGAGTGGATAAATGTACTTCTTAATCAAAAGACAATAAATGAGATCGCTGTATTGATTCTGTAATTTTCAATATCTTTCCAAAATAAACTTTTCATTGAGTCAACTGATTATTGCGAAATTAATGAATCTCAAAATTGGAATGTAAAATACTTCATTAAATCAATAACTTACATAAATTTATAAAATTTCTCAAGTATTATTAAATATTGATGTATCCATAAATACCGTACATAGAATGGAAAAAGATTTTCACTATTACTAAGTATTTTCAAAAATATTTCTGAGATATTTTGTCAAACCACGTAAAGGTACTAAATATTTTTAATTGCATACTTCCTGGGGTTCCATTGTTTATATATACTTTTAAATTTTAAAAGAAACAATCAAGTTAATTACAATTCCTAATTTTTCTGTCTTTCGACCAAAATTAAGAGCTGTTAATGAATCTCGAAAAGCTGTCCTGCACAAATTGCAAGGTTAAAGCAAAACATAGAAGAATGAAGATAATCCATGCGATTATAAAAAAAACGAATATACCAATAGATTATTAAGAAATCCATCGAAGTCTCGAGAGTAAGTACACATTGATCTAGTGCAGCCAACATTATGTGAAGAATCGTAAAATACGGAAGCAAAATTTATTTGGCTTAAATATTAAAGAGATAGGTAATATGTAGTAGAAATTGGAAATAAATATTTTCTAGATTGGAAAACGTACCGGCCTTACCAATTGCATTAATAATGTTACTTGAAATATGTAGAAATATCGATATATATTGATTGGTAGATTAATCGCTTACCGTCTGAATTTTTCTTGGAAAGTGCTGTTTCCGTAACAGAATCCTCTGAGTGGCTGGCGTTTAGTTGTCTTCCACCGGCACCATTATTATTATTATGCCCTGTGCCCCCTTAAGAAAATAAGGATAATGAATTAATGATAGAGGGTGTCGTAATGATAGACACCCAGATACAGGGTGTCCTACTTTAAATGATTCATTAGAATATCTTATGAACTAAAGGTTAATCGAAAAAAGTTTCTTATAAAAGTGGCATGGTTTAGGGGAAGAAATGTGAGAAAAATATAAGGCGAAACGTAGTATTTAGAATGGTGATTTTATAGCAAGAAACGCTTTCTATCTAAATGGAATCATACATACATGTCTTTTTCAAGTTCCTATGTTGAAAATCTGTAACTTTGAGAGTGTAACCAATTCTTGACTAACTCAAAGGTAAACACTGTTTCCCCCATTTGAAAGGCGAAATTCAATATTCAGTATCCAATCCAACTGTGCCGTATGAGAATCTACAATCTGATAAAAACTCATCTATTTCCAAGAATATCTACATTCTGTGCTGAAAATAACGCAGAGAAGAGACGTTGAGTTACGCGGTACATCCTGGGTAACAATAACAAATTTCCATAACTCAATGTCTCTTCTCTGCTTCATTTTCAGCACAGAACGCTGATACTTTTGGAAAGAAAATGTGTTTGTGTCAAACAGATTATCATACTGTACAGTTGTACTAGATACTGGATATTGAATTTAGCCTTTCAAATGGAGAAAACAGTGTTAACCTTTCAGTTAATCGAGAAATGGTTCCTCTAAAAAAGACAGGTTTTCCATCGAGGAACTTGAAAAAAAAGATAAAGTATATGATTCTATTTAAGTAGAAAGCATTTCTTGTTGTAACATCACCATTTTAAATACTACGTTTTCCCTCATAATTTTCCCACATACCCCCCTCGCAACCATGCCTATTTTATAGACTTATTTCGATTAAGTCCTTAGTTTGTCAAATATTCTAATGAATCATTTAGAATGGGACAGCCTGTATAAGTACAAGATTATTTAGCTGGAAAAGTTATACCAATGAAGATTAGTTCAACGATATACATAGATGGCTTATATGTACATTTCGAGAATGATGCACAAAATTAAACATATAAATTGAATTTTAAATACTCGATCCATATTCTAATCTTTTAGTCGCTATAATAAGTTACTAGGTTAAGTTTAAAGAGAATTAAAAATTTATCAGACTTGTCTAAATACATGAAACACTAACGACAAAATTTAATAAAGTGATATTGAGAAAAAATTAACTCCGTGCTTCTGTCTCGTCCTTGGTCTAGTTTTTCTAATAAAAGCATAAAACGAAAGAAGAATGATAACCGAAAGTAAAACAAGGACCGAAGTTATCGAGGACTCTACAAGGTTTTTTCATATTAAAAAGCCAGACCTCTAAGTTTCAAGAAAGATAAGTTTTTTCGCTAGCAAAAACAGGAAAGGTTTGACAAAAAAATGTTCGATCTTCATTATTTACAGCGTAAGGAGCAAAAGGTGTTTCTAAAGATAAGGAAAGGTCTCTACAAATAATTTAACGATTATCACTATCGGTCAGTTAAAACAAATAACGAATCCTTATGTTAGCCAAGTTGTAATGAAGAAAAACGAAAGTTCATTGAAGTATAATTACCCAGATTTTCAGCAGACGCGTTCATGTCCGCAAATCCTCTAGGTGCATTGTCCCGACGATGAGGTTGATGGGCCGAGTGGGTCTGATGCCCAGACTTGTGCAGGCTTGGACTGTGAAGCGAAGTACTTTTGTGTCGTCTAATAGTCGGCAGTCGACTGACGAAGGACGCGTTGTGCTTAAAGCTGGAAGAGACGCGGCTGTCAACAGATACGAGTCAAGTGCAGTTATCCCTTTTGGTCGAGTGGTTCGATGCTTCTATGCTTTGGTAATTCGATACGACGATACTTCGATACATCGATCGAAGGGCTTATGGCTGATCTTTTTCTCGATAAAGTCGACGAGACTATCCTTCGCTTTGAATAGCGTCATATGACTTTTATAACCTGAAAAACTATTCCTCCTCATTGACAATGTGCATAAGTAAGGTACTGATAGAGGAATAGAGGCTTTATAATGAGAATAACAATTCGATTTCTGGAATCTAAGTATTTTGGAAATAATTTGATATGTATATCATATTGATTGAATTAAAATATTTAAATTGAAAACATTATTTAAATTGATAAATGTGTTTGTGCTTGCTTTCATTTTATTATCGAGTTTCTTATAAGTCATATTTATAAAACTGATAGCATTCACCTACGTGAATATAATATATTATATGTACTATACACGAATGACATACATTTTTTGTTAAAATCACGCAAGTCCGACGTGTCTGACGAACTGACTAAGAAAATGTTAAAGTGAATAGTTACGCTATGCAGTGTATCAACGTGTTCAAAAGTCGAATCAAGAATTACAATAAACCTGTTATTGTAACAACTACAATAACATGAAAACCTTCAATTTCCTTGTCCCATTGTCTATTCGGGTGACTGTAAGATCATTTCTGATACGCTTGAGAATAATTCAGCGTTTCGTGGATTATTACTTCGTACATAAATCATTTTCCAATTTCAGTTACAAGAGCTCTTAACACCTATAGAAATCAATTTTTCCTGTTTACGGTGTCTGGCAGTTCAGGGCGAGGAAGCACGTGTTTCTTAATTACTTAGAAACTTTGTATACCCTTACGTCAGCAAGCACATGAATATTCTATTAGGAAAGTTCACGTCGATGACTTATGAAAAGATTTCAACGAGTGTAGCTACCTATTATCTCTTCGTTCCTTTGAAAATAAATCGAACGTTGATAGGCAGTGCCCCAGTGAATATCAATGCCTAAGGGAAATGAGGAATGGTGATAAGGTGACAGTATACTGATAGAATCTGGGTTATCTGTTCTTCGCTTCTCATTAATTATATCCATCGAGAAAATCCCTACTCAACAACAACATTAGACTCTGTCAAAAAATCAGCGACTCAGTTACGGCATTAACTAAGAAAAATTGCTCATAATCTAAATCCTATACGTATAACTAAGATAGAATTACGTAAACGAAGAAATTAATTTTTAGAAACTTAAAAAAATCTACATAAATGGGTAAACCACTATGCCGAAACAGATCCTATAATTATAAGTATATAATAAGAATGAATCGTGTATAAGCAGTACATGATCATTATCTTGCAGTAATGTGTAACGAATGTGAAATGTAAATTGTGCCTTTACGATTAGATCTCTCGTGACTAATTTCCTTGTAATGTGACGCAGTCATGATACCGTAAACTTTTACGTTACGTTAACGTTTCCTATTCGACCTGCAATGTCATCCTCTATCAGTAAATCTCACGAGATCTAATAGCAACCCGATCTCATTGTCAGTTTGCCTAACCTATTTCCTACATCCCCAGGATCCATCTCCCTATGGTGAGTATAACCTATCACGATCTTTACTTAGCAACATCGGCGTCATTGATTAGTCGTGTTCATTGAGACTAGAAACTTTTTTCTGTGTGTACAAAAAATAAGTTTTTTATTAATAGATTTAATTTTCAAAGGATCATCATGGACGAAATATGAAAAATAAAAATGTGTTAGAAATATTATTCGCATGAAAGGGAGAACGGAAATTGAGATTACAAGGAAAACGATTTTGAGTTTTCTCAAAAACCGAATACCGATAATTAATGAGTAATAACTTATATAAAGTATAATATTGTAATAAGTATACGTATACCACAAATATATGTATGTATAATCACATACATGCGATTTCAAAAATTTCCTATTGAAATTCCGGTGCACGAAGACCACGTGAGCTAATCCGTGAGAATTGTTAGAAAATTATTTGAATTTTGTGTCAAGTTACATGTCGAGATCGAGATATTCTAATATAGGTAAAGCTTATGGCATTAATTTGCTTACCACTGATTTCTTATGTCATTTACATCCGACAATTTTTTTGTTCGTCATCAAAATAGTATGACCTAAATTTTGTACCCTTTATTTGTTGCTGTCAATGCGTGTATTTTAATTACATATGTCACTCATACATTCATTACCTTTCACATGCATCTATGTCAAGAAATTATATCATCGAATACACGATGAAAGTTTCATTGTAGAAAAAGTTTAGAATAAGAAGACAAGCAAGGAAAAAAAAGGTCGTAGAGAAATATAGAAATGCAAATAATAGGATAAAGAGGACGGAATTAATTAAATCGAGAGAAACAGAGAGACGCGGAAAGAGAGTATGAGAAAGTAAATAAGAGGAGAGGTAATTTTAAGAATGCAATTGGTCGAGAAAGGACGAATGATAAAAGTAAAAAAAGGATTATAATGAAATCTCATGGCTGAAGTAAATCTTCTTAAGTGGTCCGGCCGATCAGTCTGCTTAAAAGGACGAATTAGAAATGAGAAAAACGGCGAACTCACATGGCGGCGGCAGGCAGAACTTGACGAACGCCACCTCCGCCCTCGTCCTTTCCACTGAGGACGTCAATCCAGAGAAAATCCAGAGAATCCATGAAAATCCAGAGAAATCCAAGAGAGCGAGCATGCATTCGCAAAAAGGACAGGAGCTTATTTGTCGCCCGTATCACGAAAACTTTAGATGTTCGTAAAAAAAAAAATAAGAAATAAAAAAAAGTATACAATTTAGATAATTTGATAACGAGGGTCGTGAACAAATTGTCGTGGCAGTGAATACGATTAGATGAATGTTCATTAAGTAATGAAAAGTATTCCAAGGTCGCATTATTTTATTTAAAGAGAAATAAACGATTGAAAAATAATAAAAGTTTAAAAACAACGCGTTGCAATTATATGTATAATGCAAAAAATAAATAAAAAGAGTGCTGAAATCTTGACAAAAATTAAATATTACGAATGCCATGGTGCCTCGATAAATAAATTTGATTATTTTCATGTCGTTCTTGATAAACAGAATGCAATACGATGCAAAACTTTGCGAAAATGCAGTTGCTTGCATTTCCGCTAAGTTTTTGTCGCATCAAAAGTTGCGAAGGTACCTGACGGAAACCGACTGTAAGAAGTAGATTCGATATTGTGACTTAAGATGGTCGAATATTAGCAAAATTGACCAAGTTTCTGAAGAAAGAGACCGTTAGAATCCTCTTTTTTTTTTAATTTCTGTCCCGTGTTGTCAGCGACCTCGTCCTCGTCTTCGTGTACCACTGTGATTACTTCGCCGTAAGAAAAAAAGAGAAAATCAAGAAAACTGTAATATAGAAGTCTTCGATATAAGAGAGAAAAAATTGAAAATTTATATAACAAAAAATGAATATATCATTAATTCCAATTTTGAAGATCTTACGATAAGGGAGAACAATCATCGGATTCGAGGAAATATAAGACACGCTAAGAGAACATGAGAAAGGTTTTGTTCTTTTTATGATTCTGCGTTGATAGAAAAATATGTGAATTGAAAAGTCATCAGAGTGAATAGAAGCATTAAGGCACAGAATAAAAGATAAAGTAGAAAATACAGCGCTGATATGAGTTTCCGTAAAAGTGTAGATATCTCATAAAAACGTCAATTTACGTATATAAATAAATTCATAAAAGAATATGTCAAAGGGTAATAGAGAAAAGGAAAAGAAGCAGCTGTGGTAAAGAAAAGAAAGGAATGTGAAGTTGATGAAAAATTCAAGAAGAAAGTAGTAGAAGAGAAAGAACGAGTGAAGTTGCATAATGGCACAGTGAGAAAAAATAAATCATTTAAAGAATCAAAAGATTAGTTATAGTATCAACGTATTATGATAAGACAATAATATTGAAGTATCTAATTGTAAGGCAAAACACGTTAACCTACCAATACATAAAATTAAAGTTTAATTTATCGACAGTTGAGCAGTAGTCAAGTAAATTTGAATGAACAAGGGGTGAATGACTACAATAAACCTTTATGATGCATGCATTATTTAAGCGAATATAAAGAATATACCAAAAGACTAATGAAAGCATAATTAGAAAAGGTGATTTACTGACCTCGGCGGACTTGGAAGTGGAATTTGATGAATTTTCCAAGTGGCAACGCTCACGCTGTGTTCATCCGCAGCATAACATCGCCATAACGCTTGTATCAGACTAGCTGCAGGTTGTCTTCTACGGATCATATGCTTTTGCCTTTGTTGTTGTTGTACTTTTAAGGCAAAACCAGAGCCTAGTATTCCCTAAATGAATAAAAATGAAACCAGTTAAAGTACTAAAATTGACCAAAATAATATTACGTATATCTTAGTAGTCATCAATCAAATTTGATTCTCATAACGAGGCGACTTTTATTTGGTATTCCTAAAAACTTTCAAAAGTTTAACGTCAGATGTTAAATTTCTAATGACAAAATATTACTGCAATCCACTTTATTAAACTTGCAAGAATGTTGCTTTTGAACGTGTTGGAATTGCAAAATTACAGCGCTCGTGTTTTAGCATACCTATGAAGTTCAAATTTTTTTATAGATGGATCTTATGTTAGCTGTGAAGATCATTGATATTATTTAGCCCCGCTTTCCTCAATATGAATTCTATTGTAGTATTGAATTTTTCACTTTCTTGTATCTTACAACAAATTGAGCATAGCTATGCATTTACCATGCAGTGTAGTATTATGGCGATTGTAATTTAATAAAAATGTACCAATCGCGATAAATATAACAGACACACTTACGGCGGGTAAGGCAAAGAATGATATTCCAAGAAGGGCACAAAATGATGCAATAACTTTTCCTTGCCATGTTTTTGGCACAGCATCGCCATAGCCAACTGTACAGAGAGTAATCTGAAACAATATAATATTTTGTTTTTATCCGATTATCCCGTCCTAGTACAGGCTTAGATAAGACCTCGACAGGCCTTCGATATTCAAAATGAAATTTCTACTCAGGATTAATCAAATATAGTATCGAACCTAATTGTAACTATGTATTACGTGAAAAAAAAAATAACTTTTTCATTTGCATGTCAGTTAACAAGAGATCAGGCAGAGTACCTCGCGTGTTGTACGTCGCGATTCCATTGCGATCTGGTTTTGATCTCACCGGGATTCCGGTCGATTGAACGACATTCGTTAACGTCTACTGGGCTTCATAAAAATACCGCAATGCGGAAAACTTATGCATACTACTATGAAACGTATTGATAATTTATATCTCTAATTTTCAAAGTTTCAGGATCATTCTATTATCTAATTCTACTATAAGAAGATTTTTCCTATAGACCCTCCTATAAGTTTCTTCTCTTAAAGAAAAACTGACGAAAGTTTTGGCAGACTTTAAAATGAACATTAATTATTGCTGTAAAAAAAAATGTTCTAGAGTACGAGTAAGAAAAATACTTTGTCAGAATTCAATAGATCTAAATTACTGGGTTCCATACAGAAAAAAAGTGTATTGAACAAATTACCACGAGATATAGGTAAATTTTACCACGTGGCATGAAACAACGTATCTACAAAAGATTACCCGATAAAAGAAGCAAGAAACTTCAAATTGTTATGTACATTGGAGGAAATCCAATCGTCGCATAGCAAATTTCTGCGTACCCACAGTATAATAAACAATGTCACATAGCAGAGCTCGTTACGTAAAATTCTATTTCATGAAAACATTATTCCACACCCGAAATTTTTGATTCTAGATAATGAATTCGACTATACTAACCGCAATAATTACTACGTAAAAGTATTTTCGGCTGTGAAGATGATAACTTGTGTTATTTGAACTTTTGTGCTTTTGAACACTTTTTTCCCCCGTGTATCGGTGTCTTTTTATAACTATTGTATGATTTAAGCTTGAATTTATTCCTTATAAAAAAATTGAATATTGTAGGTTGTCGTGTAAGGCCTAATAGACATAAGGCAGACAATAATTTTATTTAAATAAACAAAAAAAAAGAATAACTAAAACAAACAAAATGTTCTATCATAATAAAACAAAAATAGTATATTGTGCACCGAGAGCGAAAACGGGCATTTCTGTGCCGCGTATAAAGTTGAGGTTTCCGAGGCGAAGCCGAGGGGTACTCAACTTTATACAAGGCACAAACGCCCGTTTTCTCTCGAGTTTCACATACTATTTTCTTCAACAGCGGAGCGAACGCGAGTTTTCACGTAGTGGGTGATTCTTGGGTCGGTAAAAATAAGCAGGTTAGTTTGGTACCTTAGGAATTCACAATGAAACATCTGTGCATCGTACAGCTTACGTGAAAAAAACAATTGCCCCGGTGGTAGCTGG